CAACACTCCAGCATTTTTACTAATATGGATAGCCTGCTGGGATTATGAGAGACCCACTTTGACCAGCACGTCAGGATGAAGGCTCTGGACACCCCGCCACACACACTGAGCAAGGCTGCTCCGCCCACTCTCAATCTGAGACTTGCCAAGACTATCAAAACTCACTCTAAAAGTCCCCCCCGGGGGGGGGGGGAGCGTTTTCCCCACAGAAGAGGACAGCGACTCGTATCCTTCCCAAGGACTGTCAGAAACAGCCGACATCATTGACACTGTTGACTGGGTTTTAAGATGGACCTCCTCGGCAGGGGCAGGAGAGGAATGGCTGGAAGCTGTGCATATAATGTTAACAGGCTTCAGTTTCACGTCGGTCTGATTTGACGTGTTATGTGAAAAACAGTAATCAGCTCAGTCTTCAGTGAGGCAAGTGCTCTGGGCGAAGCTGCAGAGAGTCCTATGGGGCTACATAGACAGGGCTTCGCTTCCTTCAGACCGACAGTGGGGACGCGTAGCACCAGACATTCAAACTCCCGAAACTTTAGAAATGCCTCAAGTTCAAATTCAGCACCAGGCAGGCAGACTTCTGAGAGTCTCTATTTGATCTCACTGATCTGGTTCAAACAACCAACAACTCACCCAATCTTTAAGATCTAACTCAGGATGAGTTTGATCCACCAGGGCTACACATGCGTGCTATTATCTGTGTGAGACATTAACTATGGGATCACCCAGGACTCTACAGCTGAACTTAAGCCAGATGTAGGAGCATTTCTTCAATACTGGAGATCGCTAAGAACAGATTATATTTAAGTAAACAGCCTCAAACACTCGAAATACCTTACACACTCCCGGACCCTCCTCAGCACACCACGACTACACACTTTCCTCTTGGAAAAGCATGCTAAAGCAGGTGATGGGAATCACCACTGATTTATCGTTATGAAAATTCTACTCATGAAGACAGTGAAGAAGAAAGGGGGAAATCCCCCACGCCTGGTCCTTTTCCCTGAGGGCGAGCTGTAAAACAGAGTTTCATTTCCACCGAACATAATGAAACCACATTAATGGCAGAAATGCAGGCCCATCTACTTTAATCTCCCTATATACACTTTTCTTCCTCTTGTAAAAAGCATTCACAAAAATGTGAATAGAAAAAAAAATTTCCTTTTTTTTTTTTTTTTTGCCTAGGTAAAGGCATCATATTACACTGTAATGGAATCTTAACACATCCTATAAGCATACCTTGGTTGACCCAATCATGAGCCTCCTTAGACATGTCTGTTGTTAGAGGTTTTTGCCCTTTTGGGGGGAGGGGGCGCCACCCAGCTCCCATATAAATCACACATGGAGGTTTATTCATAATTATGAACGCCTGGCCTTAGCTTGGCTTAATTTCTAGCCAGCTTTTTGTAACCTAAATTAACCCGTCTATCTTTTGCCTCTGGGCCTTTCCCTTTCCATTCCTAAATACCTTTCTTTGTTACTTACTCCGTGGCTGGCCATGTAGCTGGATGACTGGTCCTGGGAATCCTTCTCTGGCTCCTTCTCCATCCCTCCTCCCACTTTTCTCCTATATATACTCTCTGCCTGCCAGCCCCGCCTATCCTTTCTCCTGCCTTGCTATTGGCCAGTTCTTTATTAGACCATCAGGTGTTTTACACAGGCACAATAACACAGCTTCACAGAATTAAACAAATGCAAGATAAACAAAAGTAACACACCTTAAAATATTCTACTACAAATGTCTTTTGCACAGTCAAGCTTCTTACACTGTAAATGAGGACTGGTATACCAAAGGACCTTAATTAAAAACATAGGTGACAATACGACTTTTTATTAACAAGTGTGTTTGTATTACAAGTAAATATAGTGAATCAAAGGGCATAATTTATTTTTAAATTTTCCTACTGGCTTGCAATGTTGTGAGGTATCTATATATAGAGAGACAGATATATAGATGTATTTTTTTCCTACTGGCTTGCAATGTTGTAATATATATATATATATATATATATATATATATATATATATATAGAGAGAGAGAGAGAGAGAGAGAGAGAGAGAGATTATGTCTCTGTGTCAATCATTTAGGCAACAAATATCCAGCCAATAGTTAAAATTACTCAATAATGTTCCTCAATTAAAATGATTCTAATATGGTATGTTTCTAGCTATTGATCAATGAAATTTAAGTACTATTAGTATGAATTCTAAACAGGGCAGTACCAGTGCACTCAGCAACTCACATCAGCTGCTGCGGCTGCCTGTACAAGAGCGAGCCAGCACACGTGAGGGAGGGGATCAAGCCACGCCCCCCCCACGCCCTGCCGAGGATCTATTGGCAGTTGACCGATACTGGGGGAAGAAGAGTCAGTTTTCAAGAGGGTGGCTCTGGGGAGGTTGTCCATGTTCTAGCAAATGGCCCTATACCCATGCACGGATGGGCAGTGCTAATTAGAATTAGCTGTTCAAAATAAATACATAGATCAATAAATATATGAAGAGCAGGCATGACGTGGTGAGAGGGACATGGGGGCATCTGAGAGGAGCTGCAAGTGGGGAGCGGACAGATATGATCAAAATACATTGCAAACATGCATGAAAGTCTCAAGAAATAAAGTGCTGTATTGAAGACCGTTAAGACTCTTCATTATAAGGATAGGGCAAACCTTAGCCGTTATGGTGGGGGTGGAACTCAGAGCACACGGACCCCAGGACACGGAGGAGAGTGGCGGAAAGGGTAAATGACACACCACCAGTCCAGCATCTTCCCTTTTTATTAGTGTTCAAGAAGTGAATCCGAATGATATTTAATAAGCAAAACACACACACAAAAACACCTAACTTGCGCATGTAGCATACATAAGCATATACACTATGTGGATTTAATAATCCCCATCTAAATACGAACAGAACAACTCGCTTTTGACCTCAAAAATAAGTTCAGTGTTGACACTGCTTCTCTAACAGTGTTTAGTATAGAACAGGAAGAACTACAGATTCCCAGGCTCGCTCTTGTTGTGGATTTTTTTTTATTACGGTATAAATAGATTTTAAGAAATCATCTCTATAATAAAATAAGTTCACTTTTGAATTGCAGCAGTCATTTTCTTCAATCAATAAAAATATTCCTTGATTATAAAGCAGCTTGAGTGTGCAAATATATTTCAGGAAAATAACTCTATTTGAAATACCACACTTTAAAAAAAAAAAAAAAAAAGGCAACCAAGTGACCGGAGTTAGATTTTTAAGATAGCATATTGCAAAATAGTTCAGCAGAGTATATTTCGAAGCACAAAGCAAGTTCCACCCTGAAGGATACTTTTAATTTTATAAAGCAAACTGTTCCAATATTTGTGTGGTCGTTTCAAGTCTAAGTATTTACAATAGAGGATGAACGTTTATACGAAACAGGACAGAAACGTCAATCCATATCCACAAGACAAATGTGATGGTATCGCATCACTATCAGGAGGCTTAGTTTAACATGTGCCCAAGACAATGAGCGCATCGGAGCAGCTCTGTGGCCGTGTTAACAGGCACAGCGCAGCAGCCACAGCTAACCCCACCCCACCCCAAGCCCAGACACCATGAACATCCAAACGGACAACACACCCCGCCTAACGCGTTTTAATTTACTTTCTTCTGTGAAATACTTCTTTGATGTTTTTCATATCCCAGGAGGAGATGATGGCAAAGTCTCAAAAAAATATATATATAAATAAAGAGAAGAAAAGTGCATCATGTTTCAAAAGTGCTGTGCGTGTGTCAGGAACATACAATGTTAAACAAGTGTGCAAAAGAATTCTGCCTTGAGGTCATGAACTTAACCGCGAGCCTCTTGTGGTGCGTGCAGAGATGGGGCCGTCCAGCTGCAGAGGGGAAACCTGAGAGCACTGTCTGCAGGGGCGTGTGCTGAGTCAGGAGACCCCCGTTCACTCTCAGCTCTGTTAACCAACTAGTCGGTGGTTCTGGTCAAAGGAATTCCATCTCCGTGGTTGTCAGTGGGTGCAAGGTGGAGCCAGACACTGGCAAAGCCCCACCCTCCTCCCACGTTCTAAGTGCTCACAGGAGCCTTTTCCGGAAAAGGGCGAGTGCGTTTACCGAACATAAAAGATACACCAGTTATGTAGCAACTGCTCTCTTGGTACTTTTGAGTAACAAACCCCAGACAGAAAGGAACATTCCAGGACACTTGGACAAGACACAGATCTCGTGAGCATCACGAAGCTGGTGAAAACTTTCACCTCTGTGAAGACGGTGACACCATGTGCAAAAATGAAGCCGAGTGGCAAAGTCACCCTCACACATCACTTAATAGCACATTCTTTTTTTTTTTTTTTTTTTTTTTTTTTTTGGGTCCCAGAATTTTCTTGGGACCTAGCTTTTCAAAGTGCTTATTTTGAAATTTGCAAAAGAACCATGACCCTCAAAGTTCAGATGTGTGTTCCTTTGGAGTTTTTTTTTTTTTTTTAATGAAGATTATTGTATTTTCTGCCTTTATATAATATCTAAATAAAGTAAACCCTTTGTCATAGACCCTATTTTACACCTAGCACATATACATATTCAGAGGAGCTCACTTAATGCCTCAAGACACTTAGCAGCTCTCATCCACGAGCTTTGACCCATTAATCCCTCGGTAGGTCACTCTGCTTGGCCTAACCAGCACTCCGTAGTTTGGCTTGCAGGTAAAATAGCGCTTGTCACCCACGGCGCCGTCATTTTTCCCCTTGGCACTTCGGAGCTCCAGTCCAAGCCAGATGCCTGAGGCAAAGTCCGTGGGGCCCACGTACCTAACGGTGGCCATTTCGTTAGAGCTCGTGAGCAGGACCTGAGATCCCTCGTGCAGCTTCGCGGTCCCCTCAAGGCCACCCGCCGTGGCCGTACTGCTCCAGCTGCGGCGCAGGGTGGTCTTGGACCTATCCAGGAGGGAAAGGAAGAACAGGCCTTAGACACTGGAGCCACTCGAGGCAAATTTCCACATCCGCAGTAGGAACGCCCACCGCCACCTCCATCCATCTCCAGTTACAAAAGAGGAAAGCTTGGTAATAACTTCATTTTTATGTGTGAGCAATTTGCATCAAATTTTTTTTATTAAGTTTTACTGTTCTATTTCTCAGGAGAATCTAAATTCTGGGTGGAAATCTTTTTATTTTTCCACTGTCACAAGGATATCTTTTATTTTAAATCACCATTGCTCTCTAATTAAATGTAAAAGGCAATTTCCATTCATACAGTTAAAGGACATTTGGATTTTTTTCTTTCCCTTATTTTTTTTTTTGAGATTATAATTTTTAAAATTGGAAACAGCAGTATTAGGAATATACTTCCAATTTCTAAATGTTTTCCTCTTTTGGCTCTTTTAATACTGCAGTTTATAAAAATATTCTCACTCACACAAACACACAGAGGGAGAGAGGGAGGGAGGGAGGAAGGGAAGGAGGGAGGGAGGAAGGGAAGGAGGGAGGGAGGGAGAGATTTCAGTAAACAAATAATTTTAAAGAAAAGGAAACTGGCACTCTAAATGTGGTAAATTAAATTTTCCTTTTGTTCACTTTAAAATATTTCTTTAGATGAAAACAAATCTTAAGCCTGTAACTTTGGAAAATCAATTTTAGATAAAGATATAGAGTCTCTCCCATGGACTCCAGTTATCTTTCCCTTCTGCTAGCACAAGAGGGTCTAGGCTGTGCTGAATAGCATTCCCGTCCTACACAACATCTAAGATGCTCTAGAGGTATCCTTGGCACCTGCCCCCTAACTGGCTGGAACAAAACAGGCCTAAGCCCATACTGCCCTCCCAAGGTCCCTCCTCTACCCAAGGAGCCCTCCAGCTCATTCCCTACCCATACTGCCTCCTAGGGCTCCCTCCACGGCCCACACCCCCCACCTCTCTGTGTCCACCGGAGGCAGCTGACCCTAATACTCACAACAGAAACTTTACCTGGACCTTGCTGCCCTCTCAGTGGGGACCATCCAGAATGGTTATTTGGGGCCTGTCGAGGAGTCTTCTGCCTCAGGGCCCTGGTACCCTCCCTTTCCTGCGCCTACTGCAGACTCGAGGCAAAGCCTTGCTGCCCAAACTGGCTAACATCTTACCATAAAGAGGAGTGGCTCCTACTTCCTTTACATTTTTTTTTTTTTTAGATTTATTTATTATGTATACAACATTCTGCCTCCATGTATGGCTGCAGGCCAGAAGAGGGCACCAGATCTCATTACAGATGGCTGTGAGCCACCATGTGGTTGCTGGGAATTGAGCTCAGGACCTCTGGAAGAGAATAGATGGTATTCTTAACCTCGGAGCCATCTCTCCAGCGCTACATTTTGTTTTATTTTCTACGTTTTTAAAAGATGAATTCATTGTGTACCATATGTGTGTGCTAGCCCATGTATCTGCTGAAGAAGGCATCAGGCATCCTCCATACAGTCTACTTATTCTTTTCAGGCCATTCTCACCCCTGAACTTGGAGCTCATACTGTTGGAAGCCAGCAAGTCCCAGCCTTCCTCCTGTCTCTACTCACCTCAGAGCTGGGGTTAGAGTTTCTTGGTACACCTGACTTGTAGTGTAGTGGGTGTGAGATCTGAACTCTGACCTTCACGACTGTGAAGAAGGGTTAAGAGGGCTCTTAACCACTAAACCATCTCTCCAGCTCCCGCTTTCTACGGTTTTAAATATGCTACCACACCTAAGATCTCATTTGTTTCTATGAGTAACCCAGTAAGAAAGGAAGAGGATTTAAAATTTATAGCTAGGATGCCATAACACAGAAACTTCCCTAAGATACACCTTCCAAAAAGTGAAGGAACTGTAACCTGTAAATACTTTTATTAGAATCCAGCATGCATGATAGCACACACGTGTAATTCCAACACTCAGGAGGCTGAGGCAAAATGATCATGAGTTCAAGGACAGTCTCAGCTACATAGTGAGAACTAAGCTAGCCAGGGCTGTATGGTGAAATCCTGACTTAAAACAGCAAACAAGGAGCCAGGCATGGTGGCTTATGTCTGTAAGACAAGCACTCAGGAGGCTGGGGCAGGAGGATCAGGAGTTCAAGGCCAGCCTAGACAATATGAAGAACTACTTCAAAAATGAAATAGGAGCCAAAGAAAGGGGGAGGTGGATAAAATAAAATAAAAACACAAGATTATTTATCACATCAAATGCATAATGCAATAACACAGAAACAAATTTTTACTGAATACACAAAAGAAACAATAGAATTCTATTCCTACACAAAAGCATCCATCCATCCATCCATTCATTCATTCTCCAAACTCACACCAAATGGATGCTTTTTGCAACCTGATGATGAGTTTATCTAAATTTTTCTATTATTAATAAAAACTCCAGTGTCAAATATCAGGGTAGACACCCAATTGATTTCAGAAGTGGCAGAGAGGGGACCAGTGGCCTCCTCTCTCTCTCCTTCCCTGATCCAAAAGGCCCTCGAATCTTTCTAAACCCCTCTGTACTACTTCCTGTGTCTCTCTATACGTATGCTGGGTCCTCCAAAAACTCTATGGCTAATTCTGGTCAACTAGTTGCTAACTCCACCCCCTGATTCAAGGTTAAACTTTGCTAACAGACTCGGAGTATCAGTGTGAACAAATATCCCGCAATAACCTGACAAAGCTGGTGCAATTTCTCAGAAAAATAATAGCAATATGCTGTAGTTTGTGAACACTCGCCATGCGCCTCATGTAAACACAGTCTCACCCTCACACAAGCCAGGAATTTCACCAACTCTGTTTCCCACATTCACGCTGAAGGTATCACTTATTTCCATATAAATAATTAACACTACTTAACACTACGTAGCACCACATTGATCAGTCCATCATCAACTCACTTTTCAACACAGATCCCTCCAGGTGTCTACCAGCACAACAGCAAGTTCTGCAGAACCAGCCGGCAGGCTCACCGCCGAGTCCTGCCAGACTTCCCACTCACAGCCAGTGCCCAAGTCTTACGCTCCCAAGAACAGTAATCAGAAAGCCCTGGGGTCATGTGTTTTCTATGTTTTCAACAAAAGAATATTTCTAGCTAGCACCTGAAACACTACACTGAGCAGGAGCGGGGTATGTGGGCACCCTTGTCTTCTCATGTTAGTGGGAAGAATGCCTCACATTTTTTTCTCCATTTAACAGGATGGTGGCTATTGGTTTACCATATACAGTCTTCATTATTTGAGATATGTTCCTTCCATGCCTAGTCTCTCCAGAGTTGTTTTTTTTTTTTTAATCACAAATGGTTATTGGACTTTTAACTGAAATGATCAAGTATCCCTATCTGCAGATGCCATGACTCTGTGCATGGAAGACTCCAGAGACTCCACCAGGAAACCCCTAGAGTTGACTGACCAACAGGGGAAGCAAAGTGACGGGTCACAAAATTAGCATACCAAGACCAATCTCCTTCCTATACACCAAAGACAGCCTGAGAAAAAAATCCATGGAAACAATCACACTCACAATAGTCAGCAAACCAAACAACCTGAATAAACCTAACCAACAAAGTCACAGACACCTACAATGGAAACTTTAAAACTGTAAAGAAATATAGATTGAAGATGGAGAGACCTCTCATGTGCATGGATTGGTAGCATTAATATTGTGAAAACAGCTATCCTACCAAAACTAATCTACAGACTCAATGCAATCCACATAGAAATTGCAATGCAATTCTGCACAGAAATTGAAAAAAAAAACAATCTTAAAGTTCATATGGGAATATAAAAGACCCCAGATATCCAAAACAACCATAAACAATAAAAACTCTGCTGGAGGTATCACCATTCCTGACTTCAAATTACCCCAGAGAGCCGTAGTAAACACACATATCACTGGCACAAAGCCACACACACTGAACAGGTGCAGCAGAACCAGGAACCAAGATATAACAAAGCCCCCATGCCTACAGCCACTTGTTTACAAAGACGCCAAAATACACATTGGCGAAAAGACAGTATCTTCAACCAACAGCACTGAGAAAACTGAATGTTCACACAAAGATTGAAACTTGATCCTTCCCTCATCCCCTGCACACAGATCAATTCCAAATGGATCAAAGATCTTAATGTTAAACCTGAAACACAGAGACAGCTAGACGAAAAGAGTACAGAGGATACTTCAGGACATAGGCTGCGGTGAGGGCTTTCTGGACAGGACCCAAATCGCCTAGGAAACAGAAGCAACAACCAACAAGTGGGACTTCACAAAGTAAATGGTCAACCCAGTGAAGAGGCAGCCTGCAGAAAGGCAAAGACAGATGATAGATGGATGATGGATGGACGGATGGATGGATGGATGGATGGATGGATGGATGGATGGATGGATGATGGATGCGAGGGTGGATGGGAGGGTAGGTAGGTGGATGCATGCATACATGCACGTGTGGACGGGGGATGGGTGAGTGGGTGGGGGTGGGTAGATAGGTAGGTAGGTAGGTAGGTAGGTAGGTGATAGATAGATAGATAGATAATAGATGATGGATGATAGATGAATGGATGATTGTAGATAGATAGATAGATAGATAGATAGATAGATAGATAGATAGATAGACAGATAGATAATAGATGATGAATGATAGCTGAATGGATGATTGTTAGATAGATAGATAGATAGATAGATAGATAGATAGATAGATAGATAGATAGATAGATAGATAGACAGATGGGTGAGTGGGTAGCTAGATGATAGATAGATAGATAGATAGATAGATAGATAGATAGATAGATAGGTGGGCATCTTAGGTATGTAGGTAGGTAGACAGGTGATGAAGTAGGAAGATTGGAGAATATATATATATATATATATATATATACTTATATATATATATATATATATATAAAATCAAAGTAACTTGGACAATTAACTATACACCTGACAGAGGACTGAACAATGCTAGAATATACAAAGAAATCAGAAAACTAAACACCAAAAAGACAAACAGCCATATTAAAAAGTGGGCAGTGGAAATAAACAAAGATTTCTCAGAAGAAATACACACGGCTAAGAAGTATTTTTTAAAGTATTCACCGTCTGTCCTTTGCCACCAGGGAAATGCAAATTAAGACTACTTTGAGGGGCTGGAGAGATGTGTCAGCAGCTAAGAGCACTAGCTGCTCTTCCGGAGGACCCAAGTTCAACTCCTAGCACCCACATGGTGGCTCACAAGCGTCTGTAACTCCAGTTCTAGGAGACCCAATGCCCTCTTCTACCTCTACAAGCACCAAGTGTGCAAGCTATGGAGACATGCATGCAGGTCAGACACCCGTACAATAAAATAAATGCTTAAAGCAACTCCTTTGAGTTTCAGCATTCTAATATTTTTATTTCTAATATTTATTTTATTTTACACGTACGGATGTCTAAATGTCTAAATGTCTGTCTATGCATCCCATGTGTACAGTGCCTGTACAGGCCAGAAGAAGGCATCAGATCCCCTGGGAATGCAGTCACAGGCAGTTTTAATTGAGCCCAAGTCCTGTAGAGAACAACCAGTACTCTTAACCACCAAGCCACCTCTTTAGCCCCGATTTTATCTTTCTTAATGGACAAGATCTGGGGGGAAAGGGATCGCTCATTATGCACTGTTGGTGAGAGTACAGACTGGTACAGCCACTATGGAAATCTATCATATGACCCAGCTATAACTCCCTGGTCTATACGCAAAGGACTCTTATTTCCTACTACAAAGACACACGCTCATCCATGTTTATTGTTGCTATATTCACAATGGGGAGGTTATGAACAGTGAAGATTTCAATCAACTCATGAATGGATATGAATGTGGTACCTACACACAATGGAATTGTATTCATCTGTAAAGAAAACTGAAATTATGGGATTTGCAGGTAAATTGATGGGACTGAAAAACATTACCCTGAGGTAACCCAGTCCCATAAAGACAATATCACCTGCTCTCACTTATATGCAGATCCTAGCATTGGATCTTTAAATTTGTTTAACTTGGAGTGCCTGTGACATCAAAAAAACTATCAAGAGACCGTTGGTGGGTGTGGGGGAGAATACTAAGAGGGGGGAATAATAGAACACAGGTGATAAGAGGGGTAAATGGGATGTTTAAGTGGGGGGAGGGAGGGGGGCAGAGGTCACAGGAGGAGGTGTGACAAGGGCTAACTAACTGTGAGGATACTTGGAAAAACGATATTGAGACCTGCCATGTTCTAAGTGTCATGGAAGTGAGGCTGGAGAGCGCGCTTGGTGCTCACTGTTCTATCACGAGGACTGGAATTTGGATCCTAACACCCAAATCTGGCAGCTCACGAACGCCTATAACTCCAGCTCTCCAGGGATCTGACACACGGCCTCCACTGGTGCGTGTGCACATGTGCACACACACACATATATGTGCAGACACACATACACAACAATAACAATAAATCTTAAAAACGAAAGGAGTTTATTTGAAATTGTCCTTTACATGGGATGATGCTCCTACAAGAAGCATAGGTTGACCAATTAACGGGCCCAGTGTCAGGTAGGAGCTACCTCCCCTCAAGCTGCTAGCCAGGGGTGTCCTAGGAACCCCCCAAATAACACCAGCTATCGCCGCTGCTCTTAAGTCCCCACCAGAAACGGACGGCAAGACCCGACTGCTGAAGACACCGCACAACTTAGTCACGAGTCATGGAGAAATGAAGTCGGTTCTGAGCGGAAACTTTCTCCCTATACAGGAAGGTGCTGTGGAGGCTGCTGGGAAGAAAAGTCACCAACTGTCTCAGCTATCTGTGTACCCTTCGGGTCCCAGTAAGGGCCAGTGTGGCAAAACAGCCCCCTGGGAGCAACAGAGGTTTAAAAGCTATGGGAGTAACCAACTGCTCTCTGATTGGATTAAGGGACCATTCCACGGGAGGAAACACATGGCTAGTACGGTTAAATCTGGCCAAGAACCCATGTGTGGGAAACCCCCAGGCCACAGGACCAAACACTATGATTTTGCTACATGGACAGGGTATCAAAATGCCCTCTAATTCACATTCCTGTATTCTTAGATTAGTGCAGCTCTCGGACTACATCAAAGACGTGTCTCTGTGTGGTAGATGCGTTTGGCGCAGATACAACTGGTCAAGGTACAGAGTACAAGTGTCTGTGGGATGCTCAGCCACAGATGCAGCGTCTATACCACACCCCCTTCCTCCAAGGTTCAGGGACCACTATGGAAAAGAGGCCAGGAAAAAAAAAAAAAAAGTAAGAACCAATGGTTTGGGAGGACTAGACTGGAACAGTATCTACTGGACCGGACAGGATGGCCGCACTCATGACGCACAGCGGCTGTGGGTGTCGGCATTAGGCCTGCGCAAGACCAAGCCATCCAACACTGCTAGAGCGCGCGCGGGGTGGGGGGGGGACGGGGACGACGGACGGGGGATGGGACACAGGGGGGGGGGGGCGAGGGGGTGGACCGGGCATCCCCAGCTGAGGAACTACTGGCAGTTAATGGCTTCTTGGGGAAGGGAGAGTGAGTTTTCTTTAAGAGTGTGGCCCCTGGCAGGTCCATCACATTCCAGAGAATGGCCCGACACTTAGGAGTTTACGGGAGTATAAATTGGACCCAGTGGACTTAAAAGAAAGACATAAAGTTGGGAAGGAGTAGGAGATGAATCTGGAAGGAGAAAAGGGTGAATAGGATCAATGAAATATGATCAATGAAAGACATTGTGTGCATGTGACATTCTCAAGGGACTAATAAAAACATTCTATTTTTAAAACGTTATTTCTCTAAACAGGTACTAGTGTCGATCTGTTTACATTTCCGTAAAGTTCAACTCCCTGTTATTTCCACAGGCAGCAGGTAAGTACTAAGTACTATACCTGCTCCGTTTCCCTCCACTGTGCATGGGACCTGCTGCTGTGCCCCGGACAGGGATCCGCGATTTCTCTCTTCCCTGCATGCTCTGGGTCACCCTCCTGCTCAACAACCCCCATACTGGTTCTGCTGCCCCGGCTTCAGAATCCTTTCTGTCCAGAGGGTCTCTTCCCAGTGCTAACCACCATGCTGCCTAAGGATGCCTGTCTATCTACAATAAACGGGAGCAGGAAGTTACCGTCCTTAATCTCTCAGCCATTTGATCGGGGAGGCCAATTTCAAACCCCAAGGCGGTGATGGATTTGAGCAGTAGACGCTACCAGGGGAAGCAAGAGCATTTTTAAAAAACGAACTCTAAGCGACTGCCTTAGGCAGATGGGCCTTACTTTTCTTTCATGCATGGCTGGGCATATTAAATCAGATCGGATTAATTCGGTAAACAGGACTTCAAAACCAACCCGCCTTACTCGGAGAAAACGCCATGTAAATACCCCCAGCTTCGATTAGTGGCCATCCTAACCTCTTAAATAGAAAACACACGCAGCGCACTGCTTTTAGCCACTTGTGACATTTTTAATTGAGCTTTTAAAGGAGGGCGGGAGAACTCAACACCACCAGTCACACTTTCTCTCTTACATGCTAACATTCTATCGAGCAGGGCGTAAGATACAAAACTCCATTTTTCCTTCCTTCACGGAATCCCGGCATGCGCATCTTGAAAGGCAGTTTTCTAAGTCTTCTCAATACTCACTTGGCAAAAGCATTTCTCCTGTTAATCTCTTTTTGGGAAGAAGCAGAGGTTGTGCTGAAACTTCTCCTAAAACCTAAAGGTGAGAGAGTGGAGGTCAGAAGAGGGAAGAAATACACCGCTTGTTTTCAGTCTTTACAAAGAGTTGTTTTTAAATCACTTCTAAAGGTGTTCTAGGACCCCAAGGTTTATTGTTTTGTTTTTGTTTCATTTTTTTTTCTTGAGAAAACAACTATGTAGCAGTTACTCTAAGATAAAAACCCTCCATCCTGCAGGGAAGTGCCTTAAACCAGGAAGTAAACAAATCAAAAGCCTCAGGAAGTCCCTAAAACTGACCAGATACAATAGATCCCTCCCTCCCTCCCTGAGCATCCATGGGCAAAAGAGACAAGAGCCCAGACCCCCTGCCTGAAAGTCAATCTTCCTGAAAGATAGTCAGACCACCTGAGCTACCTGAAGAGATGCCCTCCAGCCTACGGAGCTGTCTGTGGGTTGTACACTCTCCTCCCGGTTTCTAGCTTCACAAGCTGTCCGCCACCTGTGCTGTGGCGGGCTCTTGGTGACACTTTTTGCTGTCTTTGAGTGACTCCTGCTCCTGTAAATCACCTCTCACCCACAGTCCTGTAAGGAGCCTCAGTACAACTCACTGGGTCACTCAGTGGGACTTGGGTGACATCCTTACTTTGGTCTGTTGTTTCGTTCCTACATGGGGTGAGTAAACATTGGTTCACATCTCCACAGGAGCAGTATCACACAACGAAAATAAAACAGGTGCCTACTGCTGGGCGGTGGTGGCGCACGCCTTTAATCCCAGCACTCGGGAGGCAGAGGCAGGTGGATCTCTGTGAGTTCGAGGCCAGCCTGGACTACCAAGT